GGGAGAGCCACTTACAAGGGCACACAGCCTCGTATCCGGCATGCGCGCCCCGACATGGCAATACGCATGGCCTGCCTGAGTGAGACAGGGATGCGGGGAACACGTGATTGCTACAAAGCGAAGGGCTTAAAGGGGCACTGACACATCAAAATCATATTTGTTTTTATTATCCGAAACGATTAAAAACGATGCCGGGACATTACCCTCAAAATTTGAAATTTGGGAATTCAGTATTTATGAAGTAAAAAAATAATTTCCAAATGCCGAATTCGAAGTTCCCGCGCGATCGACACCGGTGCCTTGACGTCAAATATTGCCGGAGTCCTGAGAGTCCACTTTCTTTCACCACTGCCTACTGTTGCCTTGGCGACCCAAAGCGAGGAGGAAAGGAGCGAGCGCCGGCGTTGCGGCGGACCGGTTTTGAGCGGTGTCGCCTGTTTTCCGTTAGAGGATACAAATCCAGGAGACGGCACCACAACAAACTCCCGATTTTTGGTATTTCAAAAAGAAGGGCCGTAGTGCGTTCGCAATTGCGTTAAAAAACATTTTTTAGGATTGCCGTTATTAAATGTTATAAAGATGTTGCCTACAAAGCTTCTAAATTTCATGATTCTTGATGTCACAAATCAAAAGAAGCGAGGAGGCGAGAGAATCAAACGCCAAAAATAAAAAGGAGCGCGCGCGCGCAGGAAAACTTTTTTTCGCGATGCGTTTTTTTTTTTGCGTGTCTATGACTGCAACTTGCATCGTTTTAGACAATAAAAATAAATATGACCTTTGGAGTGTCAGTGCCCCTTAAAGGGGTACTCCGGCGATTTTTTTAGCTACCTCAACTAACTATATTTTCTGACTCCCCGGCCTTTACCCTTTCCGGTATGCTATTTAGTATCGCTAAATTCATAATAGTTATTGCGAAATCGGCAAATGAAAATGATGCAAAAACCAACATTCAAATATACCCGCACTTTTCAGTGCCGTGACGTCAGTGGAAGGGAGGCTTGCCAGTCGAGCGAGCAGTCTAAAAAATAGAATATGCCAATCATTCGTTCCATGCTGGAGCGCGGGGACTGGAGCGAGCTTCCAAAGCATTCATTTGACACCATCAAACTGCTTCGAATCAGTTGGGAACAAATTCTACGGTCCAAAGCGTGAACCCCTGCACTTCCACTGACGTCACTTTTTCGTTGTTGCCAGTAGAGACTTTCAGTTTGAAAAACACGGTGAGGACCAAGATTGTAAATTCAATAACTTTGTGAAAAAAATTATTTTGACCTAATATTTGGGATACTATTTTGGCGATGTTGTTTGGCGAGTTTAGCAAAATTTCAAGCAAATCGGGAAGTTTTTTACCACGCTGAAGTAAATCATGAAAAGCAACCGTGCCGTGTACCGTAATGTTTAGCACAACCAAGCAAACGTAGTGTGCGGCGTGATGGCAGAATTTTACTTTATTTTTTTTCTTGCATTCCTCATCACTTAAAAGGTCATAAAAAGTGCAGCCGACTACACGACACTCGTTGCAGGAAAATGTGTGTTGAACCGCAATGCCGACTGCAAGCAAGTATTCAGACTTGTTGAAGATAGTAAAAAAAAAAGTATTTAAGTTAAGTTAATAATTAATACCTAGCCAAAAAGTAACTGAGTAGAGTACTAAATACCCAAATTTGAAAAGTATCTGAGTAGACTACTAAATACTCGTAAAAATAACTCGTTACTTCTAAGATACTCTCCAGTTACAAATTGTTATAAAAATCAGTCACCACAGCTGTTCGAACATAAAAGAAAATCGAAAAAAACCTGCCTTCACCGCCCCCACCCGTTTACCCAGGGGCGGCGGATTATCTTGTGTGGAATGAACAAACGCCAGTAGGAAGGAGAGGGAACAAGCTTCTTTGAGCTAACCTGGGGGCGAAAGATAAGCCACCATAGACACAAAAGCAATGTCTCGAGAGCTGAATCTAGGTCACCGTCGCTTAGTGGACCTAACAAGATCTAGAGTCCTCCTTCGAAGGAATATTCGTGCACACTCCTGCCGCGCTTGCACATTTCAAAGCTCCCGAAGCTACAGCGGGAGCTCTTCGGGCTCCCGCTGCAGAACTAGGGAACCTTCTTCTGAAAAAAAGGCGGAAGTAAGTTATAAGTAACTTAACAAGCGAGTACAAGTTACTCACAAAAAGTATCCAGGTTAGAGTACTGAGTACTGACTTTTCAAAGTATTTGCAAGATACCAAAAGTGACTCGCAAAAGTATTTAAGATACAGCAACTTGAGCGGAGTACTTAAGTTACGTACAAGTCTCAGCAAGGTGATATTTTCTCGATTGCCACTTTCTACCACCTTACAGTGAAGCTTTGAAATCCAAAGTTAGAGACATCAAAATAATGGAAAAAATATTTTTATGGGGCACATCAAAATGATTTTTAAAATATTTTCAAACCTCCAGGAAGTGGCCTCAAGGACGTCAAAATAATACTTAAAATTATTTTGAAAATGGACATGGAAATAGTTAGTCACTGCCTACGAAAAAATGAATACAGCTGGAATAGATCTGGTGTTAGTCTATGTTCATTGTCTGCATGCCAACCAGCGCGTTTGTCTTCTTCATTTTTCTTGATTGTCATTTTGTGAGCAGACCATCTCAAGTGTTAGCTTAAATTAAAAAATATATATATATACGGTGCTTTTTCTTTTTCTAGAAACTCGGTTCATGTGCGGGTAGTTTTGTTTGGTGGCTGTGACAAGAATATAAAAACAATGTTTGCCGAATCCTGCGCTTACAGACTCCTCACGACTGGGTGGTGCCACTCTGCAGCTCCGGTGCTAGGGAATCTATATAGTAGAACAGAAGTCTTTATGGAATTTTCTTTATGGAATTTGGTCACTAGATTTTAAGACCCTCCTTTAAAGCATGCTAGGCTGGAGCAGAAAAAATGAATAATTCATTGCTCATCAATTGGAGTCTCCTCCATGTCGGGCCTGAAGTTATATGAAAGCACCAGTGATTGGTAGAAGCTGACCATCAGCAATTAAACGTTGAAACCTTGCTTTAGAAAACTCTCGCAAGTCACAAAAAAGATGCACGGCGTGTCCCCCCCCCCCCCCCAAAGTTTATCTACCAGTGTTATTTGTTTTCACTGCAAAAATAAACTATCCGTCGCTGAACACTCAATCTCTGCTCAAATGTAGCACTAGCGGTTCGAAGCAGATGCCAGAGTTTCAGTGCTAACTGTTATCTTATTCAAAAGTCATAAGTTGTGCCATTCAACCCCATATATTCCTTTGCCAGTCACCATTTTATTCCCATTGAAAATTTCCGAAAATTGCTTCCAACTTTTGAAAAAGGTAATGGTTTGTCCTGAAACTTTGACATCTGGTTCGGACTGCTAGCACAACACTTGGGCAGAGACTAGGTGTTCAGGTGATGCATAGTTTTTTTTTTTGCCAACTAAAAAACAAACAAATAACTTTTTTTTTTTTTGGCGGGGACATTGTACACGACACGCATTGTCCCCGAGTGGGGTTTTGTGAGGACGGCGAGACCAGGGACTGAAAGCAATAAATATAACGATTCGGTTACGGTTACTGTTTTTTCTTCAAATCGGTTTCATTTCGGCTTTTTAGGGTTTTGGTTTTTACCATTTCGGTTACCAATTAGCCACCCCTAAAAAGCTTCTTTTTTTTTTTTCTTCTTTTTTCGGTTTGGTTTTTTCAACGAGCAAGTAAAAAGAAATTCTGCCTATGACTAACTTTTTTTTTTTTTTTACGTTTGACAACTATTTTTTAATGATCGGTTTGAAGTAATTCCTGATATTCTATAACGGGGTCAGTGAGGCAAACGTAATCGGAGTCATAAAACATTGGGTGTTTGTGGATATATAGACAGCATAATGCTTGCTAACCATTCAGAGAGACGACACATCTCTATGCTGTAGATGAGAAATTTAGACAATGAAAAATCGCGGTGGCTTAGCTCAGCTATGTCAGGATATACGTAGCGTGAGCTTATGCGCACAAAATGAGAGGCGCTATCAAGCGGCGCCGGTGCAGCGTCAGACTTGGCTACTGCTCAACGGAGGCGGACAGCTGGGCACGCGGCGGCGCCAGTGCGTCTGCCGTGGCTATGACGTCACTCCTCTTGAATGTGCTAACCGGCGAGGCGCGCGCGGTGGCGGCGGAGCGCATGGTGGCGGCGGCTCCGGCGCGCCAGCTGTGCGCCGTGTGACGTCACTGCTCCTTGCGCATGCGCAGACAGGCGAGGCCGCGTGGCGGCGGCCTCTCCGGCGCGCCAGCTGTGCACCGTGTGACGTCACTGCTCCTCGCGCTTTCGCAGCACGAAGCACGGCTCATTATGCGAGCCACACGAAACTACTCAACCTCGGCCAGTGTAGCTCACGCTACAAAACGGTTAGCCTGGGATATTCAAATGCCTCACGCAGTATAGTGATGCACGATCGCACGCCGGCATGATGCTCATCCAGATCGAAACAATTCACAATGACAAGCATTCCGAACCTTCTTTACTACTTAGAATTGGTTAGAACATTCTTCAAAACACACTTTGGAGATATTTTGATAAGTTATTTGCAAATGAACGCTTCCTCGAATTATTTACTAAAATGTAAAAAATATATCCATTGATAATTGAAGGAATAAATAAACAATATTTTTCTGCCTCTTGTCCTGCAGGCATTAATCAGGCAATAAAATTGATTTATCAATTATTATCTAAGTTACACATGAATATTTAAAACCAATCCCCATCTATTTTTTTAGCTGTCCTAACACATTTAGAGCTAAAAAATAGATCGGGATTGGTTTTAAATATTTATGCGTAATATAGACTAACTTCCGACGGGAAAACATTGAGTAATGTGAGACCTGCAGACGAGAAAACCGATAACTATTCACTCAAAATAAGCCAACTTTCCTTTGCCATTTCAGTTTGGTCGCACATCACCTTCCCTGGGCGAGACAATGATAATGGGATATTCTGGACCGCACCTGGGCTAGGGCAGGCTCTGGCTGGCAACGCAAGCAGCGTCGGAGGAGTCTCCATGCGGACGGCGACACAGGCAGGGGACGCAGGGCTTGAGGATTGAGGCCGGAGTGCTGGTCCAGACCCTACTTGGGGACGAACCCTTCACCCCAGTCAGAGGGGACCAGGGGTTCACAAGTGGCATACGGAGCAGCGACAGGGCTCCCACCTCCAACCTGCAAGATTCGATTCTGTGGTACTACGTCAGAGTTTAACAGTTATGGGAGTGTTTTCCAGTATCCACCTGACATTTTGGTCGTTAGCTCAATTTGAACCCGAAAAAGAAAGAACAATCCCCTGAACTTGTATATGAGGCTAGTTCGGGAGGCACTCGCTTGATCGAATAACGTTTTAGCGAACGCCCATGTTTCACCGAATGACACTTTAGCGAATAGTAAACCGTCGCGAAGTGGCGTTTACGAGTGGGCTAAGTGGGTTCACAATTTGTAATGAGCCGCCGCAGACTGTCACCGCGAAGCGGCGTAAGCGCAGCGCAGGGGGGTGGGGTTAACACGCGCCCCTGTTATTCGCTAAAATGTAGATTCGCTCAAATGTCACTGTTTGCTAAAATGACATTCGCTCATGTGATACAGAGCTGACTATTTCATATACGCGGTTAAACACATCGACCGAGGGTTCTTCAACGTTTCTACTTTGAGGAACCCTCATCTGCTGTGACAGGCAGCCAGGGACCCCTCCTGGTCTAGGCAGTAATGCAAAAAAGCAGGGCAGGAGCCTATGCAGAGCACAAGTTCGTCTGCTTCTTGCACAGGGGTTGTAAATGTGTGAGAACAGCGTGCTCTTATTGGCTGACTGAAAAAATAGTGGGCAGACCTCAAGGCATCTAGCATTGAGGTTTACCCTCTATCCTTTTAATCAAAGCCAATCAGAACTCCGCATTGTTCTGACGTCACAGCAACCCCTGTGCAAGAAGCAGACTACTTGCTCGCCGCATTGACCTTGGCTCATAGTTATGCATCAGTGGGTGGCTTAAATGTGCTAAAATAGTGCTCAAACTAGAAAAAGCACTTTCTTGAAGGCGGGCAAAAAACTGGGAGCTTGGGGAACCTCTGGAAATTCAGTTTGAGAGGCCACGATAGAGCGAGGGCGATAGAGCAAGCCTATGGATGAACATCCCACGTGTACACAAACACATAAAGATGGAGGAAGCCATGACACAAGGGAACAAAACCTCCTGCCTTCCTCTGTGGCAAGAATATACACCCACAATTCTGCAAGTCATGTCTGGAAGAGCAATTGGCAAATACTAAAAGCTTAATCTGAAACAGAACTTTTCACAACTGCTCGTAAGGAATAGAGTTGGCCCCAGGTTTCAGCTGCTCGTAAGGAATAGAGTTGGCCCCAGCATGGCATAAGTGTTTGGGAGATTTGACACCACTTTCCAAGGTGTAGCACCCGCCAAAAACACATTTTGTATCCTGTCGTATTACACCTGAGACTGCGGTGGAAGAAATCGGAAGAACTTTCAGTAGAAGGAACAGACACAGAGAACGTCTCAACAGCTAACTGGTTTATTTCTCAAACAGCCTTTAAGTACCCACGGAACTTTTTCCCAACCACACTCTACAGATAAACTCCTTTGTTGCAGACATTTCAAACCGGATGGATACAAAAGATACAAAACAACCCACACATGGGACGAGGACTTAACAATGGGACACTGCGGATCATCGCAGTGACCTTGACAGAGATATGTCCCGAATTATCCTAACAATCGCGTCAAAGCGCACAAAAAAAAAAAACAAAAAAAAAAACACACACAGGTGGTCTCTAAACCGTGGCAACGCACCCAGACAAAAAAAAAAAAAAAAGAAGAAAAACCACAACTAACGCTTTTTTTTCCCCCCTTTTTTCCCCTTTCCTTTCTTTGGGAAAACACACCCAAGTGATCTCGAAATCGCGATCACAAGCACATTTAAAAAAAAAAAAAAAAAAAAAAAAAATTTTAGATGTATATACACATATACATTGTCTCTCCCCCACCTTCTTCTCGTAAACCGAATGCGTTCGTTCAAAGTCTGAGAAACTTTTTGGAGTTGCGTCCAAGTTGCATCGATGCTTGGCTTATGCAGTTTCCGATAGAACTTATTCTTATTGTTTCTTTAACGACCCTCTTAATGTCATTTCGCTCTTTATGCAGAACTTCTGTCTCTGACCAATGCGCATTACAATTATTGCATTCCTCTATGTGCTTTGCTATTTCGGAGTTCGGCGCATGCGTGTGTACATTTCTCTGGTGTTCTAGTAACCTGTCATTAAGGCATCTTGAAGTTTGTCCCACATACTTAAATCCACATGTCAACGGAATCTCATATACTACACCCTCTTTGCAAGGAACTGAAGGTTCCCGATGGGCCTTCTGACAACCCTTGTGGTCCGACAGAAAGGGCGTCAACCTGCTCAATTTTAAATCTGAAGAAAAAACTACGTCCACGCCGAACTTTTTTGCGAGAGCCTTTAGGTTGTGGGAAATCCCGTGGAAATACGGGATTACTGCTATCTTCTTTCTTGCTTCCTTTTCCCGTGGTTCGTTATTAAATTTCAGTTCTAATTGTCTTTTAATGAATTCTTCTTCATAACCGGCAGATTCTAGCCTCCTCCACTGTTCTTTCACAGCACTACTCATAAAATGAGCGCATGATTTACCCAACGCGTTTGTTACTAAGGACTTAACTACCCCTGCTTTAACCGACTTGGCGTGACAACTCTTTCTACTTAACACAGGTTTTCCGGCTTTTTGACAGGTTACTAGAACACCAGAGAAATGTACGCACGCATGCGCCGAACTCCGAAATAGCAAAGCACATAGAGGAATGCAATAATTGTAATGCGCATTGGTCAGAGACAGAAGTTCTGCATAAAGAGCGAAATGACATTAAGAGGGTCGTTAAAGAAACAATAAGAATAAGTTCTGTCGGAAACTGCATAAGCCAAGCATCGATGCAACTTGGACGCAACTCCAAAAAGTTTCTCAGACTTTGAACGAACGCATTCGGTTTACGAGAAGAAGGTGGGGGAGAGACAATGTATATGTGTATATACATCTACCGTAAAGTTCCGAGAGAACGCCCGCCCCCGAGATGTCGCCCATTCCGATTTTCTGGCTAAATATTTGTAGGATAAAAATTCCGAACCATCGCCCACCCCCTTATTCCCGTCGGACGCCACGCAATGTCCGATGGGAATCCCATAAACCGCGCAATTTGCTGTACTGGCACGTCAGACACGCTAGTTTATAGCGGATTCCCGCCTTTTTCTACGCGATCTGCGTGTGCCATCTCCAATTCCAGGCGAGTTGGTCCCGCGTGTACTATATTGCATCGTGAAATATGATATTGCTGCGTTCTCGACCTGCGGTATTTGTTGCCGTAACATCCGAGTTTGTTGCGGATTCCTGCCCTTTTGTACCCGATCTGCACGTGCGATATCGGTTCCTGTAACCTGCAAGTTGGTAGCGGGGTCCCACGTGTTTATCGCAACGTGAAACGCGAATTTGCGGTGTCCGCAATCTGCGGTATCAGTTTCCGCGTCACGTAGTTTGTAGCCGGTGTTTGATAAAGTTTTGCTGTGGCGTCCCCAAAGATAACCCACCCCATGTTTTTCACCATTTATCTCTTTATTTTGGGTGGGCGTTCTTTCGGAACTTTACGGTAAAAACTTTTTTTTTTTTTTTTTTAAATGTGCTTGTGATCGCGATTTCGAGATCACTTGGGTGTGTTTTCCCAAAGAAAGGAAAGGGGAAAAAAGGGGGGAAAAAAAGCGTTAGTTGTGGTTTTTCTTCTTTTTTTTTTTTTTGTCTGGGTGCGTTGCCACGGTTTAGAGACCACCTGTGTGTGTTTTTTTTTGTGCGCTTTGACGCGATTGTTAGGATAATTCGGGACATATCTCTGTCAAGGTCACTGCGATGATCCGCAGTGTCCCATTGTTAAGTCCTCGTCCCATGTGTGGGTTGTTTTGTATCTTTTGTATCCATCCGGTTTGAAATGTCTGCAACAAACGAGTTTATCTGTAGAGTGTGGTTGGGAAAAAGTTCCGTGGGTACTTAAAGGCTGTTTGAGAAATAAACCAGTTAGCTGATTGAGACGTTCTCTGTGTCTGTTCCTTCTACTGAAAGTTCTTCCGATTTCTTCCACCGCAGTCTCAGGTGTAATACGACATGATTAGCTACCACCAGCTCGCCTGCACTCTCACCGTCTTTTCACATTTTGTATCAACACTGCAGATTAGTACACTATGGAATCCCTCAGCTTACAACCTGCGACAAGATTAAATGCCTTCTCCAAAACTTACAATTTGAGCCAGTGCCTAAAGCAATCCAATGTAATTAGCCAATGCAAATTATCAGTTTCTAACTAAAGAGCAGTTTTAATGAAGAGATCACTTCACAAGCTAACGAGTTCTGCAACCAACCACCGACACTTGCGTAGGTAGAGGAGGCTTGTTCATGCCTGCTGCCTGCTTCCCCACCTGCTCATGGTTCGGACGCTAGGCTTGGCGTGGTGTCCCTGTGGACCACCCTTGTAGAGATAGGGCCCTGTAATGGAACCCCTGCAGCAAAAAAAGGTAAATGTCCTCACTTGAAATGGGAAAACTTAAAAAGATTTTCAAAAAGTAGCTGCACCAAAGAGACATTGATATTGTCACAAATAAACAGGCGAGAAAACAAAGAATAACTGGAGAAACTGAAATGTTTAATGGGGCGAACTTGTGCCCAAAACTAAAAGGGTACAAAAGATAATAACAGAGTGTCGCGGGCGTCGAAGTCGGCGTAACAGCTGAGTCGAACGCTGGGGCGAGACTAAAGGCAAATCGCCACGCGGAGAAAAAAAAAAAAAAAAATGTGCCTCTGCGGCCAGGAATTGAACCGTGGCTTTCAGCGTGGAAAGCACGCGCGATAACCGTTAGACCACTAGCGCGCTGCCTTCTTGATCAGCTGCGCTCGCGGCAATATTTGTTGAGACAAAAAGTACAGCAGCTAGGTGGGGCGCATGGCAGGGAGGGTGTCGATTTGTTAAGTAATGCAGTGATTTTAGTAAAACTTGCAACGTATGTTAATCTGGCAAACTTGAAAGATAGTGCTGATTAAAGAAAATTATTTTGAAAAGAAAATAACTTTTTTTGCACAAATGGAATTTTTGAGTAAATGAGGAGTCACTCATCATTTATATTGCTGTGCACCTTACTTCACCCCGAGTGAAGTAAGGTGCACAGCAATATTTTTTTAATGACAGCAGCAAAAATCAATTCTGCCAAAGCAGGGTTTTCTTTCAGGGACGCTATATTATTTTACATAAAACTTCATCTCGTGTTTGTGTGCAGCAGTGTTGTGGAGTTGCCACTCTGGTTTTGGAATAATTCCGGATTCATTCTGGACTTCCATAACCCCGGAATAGAAGGGGAGTGACTGGCGGCAGCGCTGGGAGAAACGAAATGGGAATGGAATGAGCTTGTTTCTTATGTGAGCTGCGTCAATCTCAGGCTAGGGCCTACAGCCTGCTAGTGCACGGCCAAAGTGACTCTTAAAAGAGCATAATAGACCATCTTCAAAAGTCTAGCTGCGCCATCGCCTGTCCGCCGTTGCTTGATCACCTACTCTGATTGAACACGAGGACTGTGTCGGCGTTTGGCACGAGCTCGGCGCAGCTCGTATTGAAAACAAGTGCTGCATCAGCGTTTGGTGAGTACTCGGATCCAATCACGTGCTTTGGGCCCAAGAAATGGCGATCATCAATGTTGCTTGATGGACTTTTGAAAAGGGTTTATTGCACTTAAGGTGACTGAAAGCTTAATTGTTGCACCGGTTCATGCTCCTTTAAGGGTGGAAGCGGCTCCCTTAGCAGAGCAAAGGACAAGGTGTCGTTCCTGGCACCACAAGACCTGACAAAGTGGCACTGTTGTGACCATACGCAATTATACTGCTGGTCAAAAGTCACCAGGCAAGGCCCAAGCTGTGTCGCCCCCTTCCTTGGATGCAGGCCTCCCCACTCCAGAGGCACGTGTGGAGTCAAAAGTGCCGTAACTGGCTCATGCTTCTGTGACACACATCAATGTCTGCAGTGCCCCCGAGTGCCACCAAGTGCTTTATGTGACGACTGCTTGGCTTAGTACAATCAGTGTTTTGAGGGTGTGTTTTGCTTTTGCAGTTGTCATTGCGTTTGATAAAGTAAGCTTTATGCTCCTTTTGGCAGCAACACAACGTAGTTGTCAAGAGCTATTTTTCACATTTGGGAATTAGAGGAATGGAATGGTGCAGCCATTCCAGGCGAGGGAATGGGCCCAGTGTATTAACTCCTAGGATGGAAAGGAATGGAATTCTCGGAAACACTATAATTCCCTGGAACGGAGTTGGGGTGAAATCAAGGTGCTCGTTCTGGAACGCTGATGCGCAGCGACGGACTCCTTGCATGGTCGACGCAGTTCTTTTCAGTTGTGTTCAAAGTTTCCTGCTGCAAGCTTTGCAAATTTTTTTTTTTTCTTGTTGGATATTTGTTGCTTTACAGGTGCAGTGATGGGGAATACCCTCTGGTTTGAGCATTTTGTTTTCTTTGTTGTGTTTTGCTTCATTCGGGAGGTGGGGGAGAGGCCTGGGCACATATAAAAAAAGCTACTTCTGTAAGAAATATTTTTCCTCTCATATTGGAAAGATTTCATATTCTGGTGAAGCAAAGCGTTTGGAAGCCACAAAAATAGCCCGAAAACTTCACACCACGAGGTCGACAAAAACTACCGAAACCCCAGAAGCTTGATATTGTTTTTCCATTTAATTTTTTTGGAAGTATGACGAATAGTTTTAACAAAATATTATTCAGCTAAAAACATGCCATAAAATACCGGAGAAGTGCCCACCCCACTTCCGCTGAAAACTGAATTAATCTAGACATGGGCACTTGTATGGTCAAATCGGGCGCTTAACATATGATTTGCGGAACTCCCAAGTTTGAGAGATGTTAATAGTGGGCGCTTGAACAAAGTCAGCACTTCCGCGGTATTTTACAGTAGTTATAAATTTTAAACATGGAACAGCTGATTATGCTATGTCTATTTTAATATTTTAATTAAGATATTCGCATTGTATATTAATTTGTGCATACAATTTTCTTATAAAGAAAAATTGTACAAGTGTATTGAGTTGTTCTTAGAGAGGTTCCACTTTGGACTAATTTTTACTGCATGTCTGTTAGAAGCAATTAATGATAGGGAGCTCGTGAAGTATTGTTTATACTGCAGGCATGGTGATTACATTATTATTTTGTTGGTGACTTTTTCTTAAATAGAACACTGTCTGTTTCAAGTACAATAATACCTCGTGATCTGTGCTCTTATTAGGTAAAGGAATCCCTCACTGAAGTTCCATCATTCAAACCCAAGAAATTCACGCGGCATCTTGTAAAATAAAGCAAATGCCGACATTTGGTGCTTGCGTTGTCTTGGCTGAGATTGTTACTTTGGCATCGACTAATTTATTTATTTATATTGGTGGTGGAAATGTTTGCATGCGGTTGCATGGTGACAAATCCAAGCCACAACATCCCTTCCCTGATTGTGCCCATGCGCTTTATTTACTAGGATTTATTTATCGGCGCCAACTTTTTTACTATATGTGCTCCCCCCCCCCCGCCCCCCCCCCCCCCCCCCCCCAAAAGAAAGAAATAAAGAAAGCAAAAACACAACATAAAGAAGAACACAATCTAAACCCCGAGACAAAGAGAAATAAAATAACAGACAAGACAACACAATTTCTCCTTGTCTCACGGTTTAGATTCTGATATTTTCTAACAGGTTTGCCTGCATACTTTCGCTCCTTGCACTTCTTATAAAGGACAAAATGGTCAAGCCAGAAGATTATAGAAGGCCATGGTCATGCAAAGGCATACCTTTCCATATTCCCATTCTCTTTGACTGGTGTCATCGGCAGTGGAAAGAGGCAACAGAATGTCCATCACACACAATTTTTTTTTTTAGAGTGTATAATGTTTGTGCATTATAGAACTGATTATATATTTAGTAAAAATCTAACAGCGCAAAGGACAAGGACAAGACGTAGAACAAGACAGAAAAAGCGCTTCTCCTGTCTTGATCTACATCTTGACCTTGCCCTTTGTGCTTTTCAATTTTTGTTATGTGTAGCCAACCAGTCCAACAGTTAATTTTATTATATGTTTAGGCAGCTCTGCAGTGGCAACGTCTGCTCCGTGGGTGAACGACAAAATAAAGTATGGTGCTCTCCGAGAAGTGTGTGGGGCTGTTCAGTAGTCCTGATGTAACTACAACAGTTTTTTTTTAGGTTTTTTTAAACCGATATATTGTGACATTAGTATGTGAATTCGTAAACAGCACAGGCAAAAAAGCTGAGTTTTTTTGGTTTTTTTTGCTTTTTGCCTGTTTTTTTGGGCATCACGTTATCTAATAAAACTATATTTCATTTGAAAATATGACTTTGTGTGAATGAAATACATTCTGAGGAGCTCGGGGATGCAGGTCCCCATCAAGGACGAGTCCACGGCACACTTTTCTTTTTACAATGACGTCCAAACAAAAATTCTGAATTGTGGATGGAACAGCCGTCCTATTATTGGAACCTATCCTGTTATTTCTGTTTAATTCTGGAACAGTGCCACTCTCCAGCGACTGAGCTTCTCCATTTCCAGGTTGAGGGTCCAAGGATAACTTATACAAAAGACCAACACATTTTTGTCAGTTTCTCATGGAAAGAAAGGACTTTCGTAAAAGGCGGAGGCCGATAAGGTAAAAAGGAAGCATCCCAGTGCCACCTGAAATCGTAAAATATTCCCATTTGAGTTCAAATTCAGCTGCAATATCCCTTAACAAACCAAACTTATCATGAAATATGTGCCACCATCTTGGTGGAACTTGCTAGTGACTCACGATGAAACCATAGACCTACCTGGCTTTGGACCTTGTTGAGCCCCTTCATGTATGCTTCATAAAGACAGCCTAGGTCCGTGCACCATGGAATCTGCAGTATAGCCACCAAAATAGTGAGTCAACACATACGAAGAATTGTCCTTGGTGCAAGTTTGCAGGACAACGTTATTACCTTCCAACAGGATTAATTAAAACTGGGACACATCACAAAAAACCTTGGGTGTCCCCAGAGCTGTATATAGAGAGAGAGTTTGGCCATTTATTGGGAAGTATAGGAGGCAAATGCTCTTCCTCACCCTTTCTTATGCCTGCTGCATAGGAAAGGGTTAGGAGGAGCATCGCCACTGGGAAAGGGCAAGTGCTACTTGCACCCTCTGTTGAACCATCAACGCAGCACATGTTTATTTTCAGCTTCAGTACTTGAATTCACTGTTACAAGAAAAAGAGAAACTGAAGCAGTTGTCGAATCAGTCAGTGGCTGATTGCAAGAACGAAATAACTGGAACCTCTGGCGAAGAACACCACTTTTGCAGCATTCAGTACAATCTTTGTACATTCAGTGAAAATATCCAACATATAATGTTGCAAATCTTATGTGTGACTCGTGGTCAACAAAATGGCGATGCATCATGAAATTATTTCTGGGCACCGATTTAAAGGGGGGTGCAACAATTTTAAGATTAAAGGAATTTGCATCTTGTCATTTTTCCCTTGTTTATCGTGTCCCAGAGGATAGAGAAAATATCTCCTTCATTCAAAGATGTCGCGATTCCTCTGCATATACATCGCACACTAAAGTCTAGCTTCTTCCCCCACCTGCAGCCGTGAGTGGCAGCCGAAGGAACTACGGTGAGAAGCTTCCATGACTTCGCTCAGCTCTAAGCTGCAGCATAACGCCCACTAATATGAGCAAAGAGAGGTAGAGGAAGCGTACTCGGTGAGAGCACACGGGAACCTACACGGCATCCCGAATTGCGTCACTAGGAGTGTGACCAGGTGTGACCCTGAACACTGGGAGTGAGTTGAGGGGTACCAGAAATGCCAATTTGTTTTTTTTTTTTTTCTGTTCTTTACTTCAAAAGTATCAGAGGGCAACTTCCACAAATTTTTGACCTAAGTCCGGAAATCGTTTGACCTAAGTCCGGAAAACTCCTTAAAGGGGGGGGGGGGGGGGGGGCCCCCCCCCTTTAAGGAGTTTTAACCTATTAATCTGTGACCTTTATTCAGTTTTGGTCTAATGTGAAGCATGTGTCTTGTGAAATTATATACCTTACAATTGGGAGCACAGCTGTTTCATTTCAGCTGTAGTTTTTTCTACATACATTCGAGTGCTGCAAGCCAATTATGGCAAAAGTAGGAGAGGGCTGAAGAAATACCTATACTGTAAACAACTTTATTTTTGTGGATTCAATATTTTGTGAATTTTGCATAGTGTGGGCTTAAAAAATATTTCACAGGCACAAAATTTTGAGATTTTGAGTGGTAAATTTTTTTTATAAAGTTTTCACAATATTTTTGAAGTCGGGAAAATTAGGTTTTCACAAAGGTTGTTTACAATGCACCTTTTTGCTGACATCAAGTTCCCAGCTGCTAACTACTCTAAAAGTAATTGAAAAGTTCAATATGTATTGTTTACCTCAAAATATATAATCAATTGAAATATGAAACAGCAGGCTTACCAAGAAAGGAGGCATGCTACTCTTGCTCCCGATTCATCTTGGGCAACATGAAAAATGGTACACAATGCCATTTATCAGGAATGTTTCCCAGCAGGAAGGTTAAAAAGAAACAGCCAAGTTTTGTTTTTATTATTTTTGGTACAGGAGTACAAGATGTTCATGGATGTGTGCACTGAAATAATGGCAACCTAGAGAAGAGATCTCGCCACTGATTAAATGCTCAATGCCGAGTTTGGCAGCGGCGCAGATATTGCTTGCAACATTTTCAAGATCACACTTTTGATCAATTGAGTGGGTAAGAAATTTAATGCATTACCAATTTTACTGTCCTAATTATAAATATGGTCCATAGAGCATGCCACATACCTGGACATGTCTCGGCAAGCGAAAACTGGATTTAGAAACAAATGTAGTCTTGGACAATCTCAGCTGAAATGACAAAAGAGGTACCAATGCCTCTTCCCGACACGAGAACTAGGGCAAGGTAGAGCTTGCACATGAGAGTGGCATCACTGTAACAGTATTTTCCTTTTCCCTGCTTTGGGTTGCACAGCAATGCTTCTAGACTTTTTGTTACCACCTCTATTATCTCTAGTATCTGGACCCATATTATTGTCGCAGGCTAAAGCATTCTTTGTATGGTAGGGCCAAGTCAGAATGTAGTGGCACTGTACTCGTCTGCATGCTGCCTTAGATATATCGGTGTTTGACAACTTTAGCTAATACTTTGCTCACTGGCATTCACAAATATGTTTGGTGTATTGTGCCATAACACAGAGGAGTATTTAATTATACATATAAAGAATTCCCAGCAGCCTTAAACAGAAGGCATGGGATCTTCGTCTTCAAGGATGCCAAGCTTCAGTGCATACCCATATAAAGCATTCTTAGTATACTTCATTTCAGCATAAATGGATGAAGAGCAAAAGCTATGACTCCTGTGAACCAATAAGAGCAAAAGAGTACATAACAGCTCTGTAACCGTTCATTCACACTGGAAGCGGATCCGCGTTTGCAAAGCGGTTGCGAACGCGGTTGTATAAAGATCCAGTGCAATTGCACGCGCACTCGATGTCATCAAGTGCGCGTGCAATTGTACTGGATCTTTATACAACCGCGTTCGCAACCGCTTTGCGAACGCGGATCCGCTTCCAGTGTGAATGAGCGGTAAGAGACTAGTGCATTCTGACGACAATTGTCGTGTCTCGCTCCGACAAACTGACTGGCTTGTTTGGGCTGTAGCTTTTATCGTTGGCCAAGTTATGCTGAAACGGAGTATAGTACATGGTTTGACATGACATGGCTGGGTGGCTTTATGGAACATCCCCAAACCCAGCAATGCGATGTCAACGTCTTACGACCAGCCTGAAAACTCATAGTAGCACGAAGAAACCGCTACCCTGGCCCTCAAGGAACACTGAGCAGCACTGCAGCTTCGCATCCCTAAGGACGAAAATCCTATACCTTCTGGTTAAGGCCGCTGAGCAGCGGTCAGACTTCAAGGATGCGAACAGGTGCTGTAGCGACGCATGTTAAGTGAGCGCTTCCTGAGAAGCAATCTCAGCTTGGGTACTGCAGTCGCCGTACCTTGCCTTCCGATGAAGACCAACCTCTGGCCAACCTAGGCCATCTCCACTAGGACCCCCCGGCACTGCAAACAGACCGTAATGCAGCATGGGCGCATCTCCCAGAGGGTACAGGCAAGCCTGCGTGCCTGCAAGAGTGAACTCATTTCACAGGGACTCCACATCACTGCAAGGTTGTCTTTATTTTGTGTATGAAGTAGGCCTCCAGGACAGCATTTAGTGCATTCCTCTTCATTCTCGTATCTCTCATACTCCATCCCTTTTGCTAGAGGCTCATGAACCAGCACCTACGGTACTAAGTATGTCAGAATTAAAAACATATTTTCAATCAATAAACATTGTTTGACAGTCAGACTGGGCAAACACTGGATCAAATTACAAAGCATTATTACTCTGCAGACAAGGGTTGGGACATAAATTCTCCCCGATTATGCTCCCCAATTGAATGACTGCAGTTCTAACCCTGTCCAAAATAAACCACCGGTTTTTCTGGGCGGGGCTGAATCAGCTGTTACTGTCCTTGCCAAAAACCTGCAGGTAAGTGGCTGTACTGCACTGACCAGTTCGAATGCGCTTCTCCACTGGCACCAGAGCCAAATGACGACTCATGCTGTCCATATTCCACTTCAGAAGCACAGGGACACCTTTCAAGAGACAGGAAAGGAGAAGAGCATGTATTTAATTTCACCTGCTGAATGGGCCATTTTCCATTTTGGTTCCTGGTGAGCTCCCCCAAAACTTGCATTTGTCTCCATCGTGGATTGAAATTCCCGCGAAAAGGGAAACCGCCACCTACTCTCGAACCCAAATATATATTAGGCAACAGCGCGCTACATTTGCTTTAATAACGTACCAAATGTCTCTAAAAAAAAAAAAAACTAAAAAAAAAAAGTGTTTTTTTTACCGTTAAAATAAAGTACACGAAGCCGAACGCTCAGTCCCAGCCCAGATGTTGGGACAATACGCCCAAGTTTACGAATGATCGTTTTCTGGTTCAAAAGTTATGCGCGATTTTCGGAAATTTTCACGAGGAAATGGGGCCCGTTCTCTGCAGTGGACGTCATTCACCTACATCCAAACATTCGCGGGCTTTTGGCGCCATTTTCTCGTTGAAAATTTTCGAAAATCGCTTAAAACTTTTGAACCGGCTAACAGCAAGTTCTGAAATTCTGGTATCTGGCCCACACCGTTCTAGCGCTACATTTGGGCCGCCACTTGGCGTTCGGCAATGCGTAGTTTATTTTTTGTAGTGAGAAATACGCCTCAACACCCGGTAGTACGATTGATCCCGGCCCACGTGCTGCGCCGCAGATACCGTGTAAGGTAGTGTTACCAGAGAATGCCTCGACAATCTACAAACATTGCGAAGTCCCGAAAACTGCCTCGTGGCAGAGTACGTCGAAATAAAAAGTTTTTAGTATTAGCCCTGCCCTCCACCCGTGGGGCCCGCCTCGAGATGCCGCAAACCCCGTTGGCCCAACGGCGAGGAAGCGAACCGGTTTCATGGCCACGGGAAAGGCATCTAGCTGCTAGTAGCGCAATCAGCCCCGTAAGGGAACGAGCGTTGTCACACCATAATTCCGTCTACATACGCATGTTTGAACATGAAAATATTAGTGTGCACTTTGACAGCCACCTCGGAAGGAACATTCCTTTCAACGCGGCCATTTCTAACCTCACAATGCCGAAACAAAGTACGAAGCCGCAAAAAGGCGTGCAGAGTCCCATGGTCTCATTCGTTGAACTGGGTCTCACGTTGGACGTAGCCAACCACATTCTCGGCGTGTCTTTGATCTCGATGCCCTCGCAAAGGATCAAGGCCCTACACGACTCGAGCAACTAGAGCCCGAAAAGCAGCCAACGGATCACAGTATACGACTGCATCCGTACAGGTTTGGTGCCTCCCACCTTGTGCCTTTCTGTGCGCTTCTGTGACGATGTATGTAGTTCAACCGTGCAACCACGAGGCGATTACGTCGGGCGATCAAATTATAAATACTCCTTGATTTACACAAAAAAACAACGCAAATTGTTTTCACTGAAAAGATGCCAGTCCCCATATTTAGGGACATCCGGGAGCAACTAGGGTCTTAGGTACTTGCCGGCATCGGAGAGAAATACACTGCCAGCTCGTATCGCGCGTGCTTCATCTGGACACGAGGGAAGGTTTTAAGCCTCCAGACACCCTAAAAACACGCTAGAGGCATCTTGAATGAGAATTTGGACAGTTTTGCTATCTTTCCGCTTCATGACGGCGTTCGTTTCAACTGCCCTGGGTTTCCAGGGACATTCCAGATATTCCCTAAGTGACGGGGACTTTTCTAGCATCGATTTAGCGCTCCTACCCAGACGTTTCTTGACTGCCGGTTGCGGAGGACGCTTCGTGAGCGGCTCAGTAGTTACGCCGACGATATGCGTTAGAAACATCCATTGGGTTCTATCACCTTCGGTAGTATGCGGGACAGTCTAAACTCCGTCTCATCAGCAAACTCGAAGCTCATCAACAACGAAAACTAGATGGAACACGCAACTGCGACAACAAAAGCAATATGGCGGTAAGTGCTTTTTTTTTTTTTGCTTCGAGTTCTGGTGTGCGGCCGGCGTGACAGCAATAATCAGGGAAGCGATACGAAGGTACTAAATCGCGGAGTAGCGGGAACGTTGCCTTTTGCGGTCACGTCGCCTTTCTGGCAACGTGGCCGCAAAATGGGCTCCGAGAAATGTCGCCGTACGGAAAGGCTTAGAAGGAAGTTCGGTCGGCTCGGTCGATACGGTGACCTCGCACTTGCTCCAAGTCACGCCATTTCAACGTAGAAGCCGCGGGGGACTGTTAAGGGCCGAGTCAACGGGAAACAGTCCTTGTAGGCTACGAATTTGAAACTGCAACCTGAGCACAGATCTGGCGCGGAATGGCGATTAGGCTTAAGATGGCGGTCGCTCTTTGTTCGGGCCTGCGATAAGCGCGGGCCCCCAGTCCGCTTTCCCGGGCTGTTTTCACTGTACCGACGCGGCCTTCCAGCGCGCAATCACGCTGCAGAGGACTGTTCGTAGGTTAGCGATTTTGAATGCCAACGTTTCTGACAAGATGGCGGCCGGACAGCCTCGTGTGACGTCAGCGAGGCGCTGAGGTCAGGCCGTTCCCGGAATTCCTAGCTCACGGGGAGGGGGCCCTGTTCGGTTTGGCGCCGATGGCTGAGCTGGCGCCTGTTTTCCTCTGCAGAAGACCGCGAGGCGTCCTGGTGAGTAGCGGGCGCCATGGTGGGTGCTGTGGCGAGCGGCGGCTGTGACAACGTCTGACCCCTGCAGTGGACCACCGGGAGGAATGGCGCCGAAAGCGGGGGGCCACCGGGCCCCAGGAGAGGAACGGCAACGACGTGTCCCCCATTGGGGGCCGTGAACTTCCACGGGCGGCTGTACCAGGCGTGCCCGGGCGCTCGGCGGCCGGTGGTTGGGCATCGGGTCGGAGGTTTCTCAGGTCAGACGCCCTTCGACCCGGGTTGGACCTTTCGGTCGCCTAGTGCCCGAGCACGCGTGGAAGGCCCCCGCCTCTCGGAAGACGGCTCTGGGGGACGTCCGGGACCCGCCCGGGGGTTCGGCGGGTCGTTGGTCCGGTCTGGGGCCCCAGGTTTTTGAGGTCAGACGCCCTGGGACCTCGGCTGCGAACGGCGGTCCACTTAAGCCCCGAGCTGGGCCCGGGCCGGGGTGGGGGGTGTAGTGGGTCCAGGCGGGCCCCGGGGTTCGGCGGCTGCTGGAATCAGTCTCGAGTCGGAGGTTTTTGAGGTCAGACGCCCTCCGACTCAGACTGCCGTCCGCCGGTCCCTTGACCCCAGAGCGCGCGTGGACCGTCGAGCGGACCCACTTGGGCATCCGGGCTCTTCCATCGGGGCGCCAGAGTGGCCCGGCGCTTCGGCCGCGGTCGGCTCGCGGTCGGGGGCGGGGGTTTTGAGGTCAGACGCCCTCCGTCCCGCACCGTGGAGACGTCGTGCGCCTTGGCGCCGAGCGTCTGTGGACCAACCCCGAGTCTTTGAGGAGCAGGGTTGTCCGGGTCCCTGGCTGTTGGCGCCTCTGGGCGCGCAGCCCGCACGTGCGTGGCCGGTCGCGGCTCGTCCGCTGTGACGGCCGTCGGGGCCTTAGGCTGCGCGTTCGCGCGTGGCCGAGGTGGCCGGCGAGCGGCGCAGTGGACGCGATTGGCACTAAGAAAGGCGTCCGCCTGTTGGGCGTCCCGCGCCCGGTGTTTGATCTGGCTGCGACGGGGGCCCTCGGTGGCCGCCCCTTAATGTCCGGCCAGGCCAGTCTCTGCCCCCTTAGGGTCCCTCCGCGGCGGTCGGTGCCCTCGGGCTGCTGCCGGGACCCGGCGGGGCTTCGCGCTCGCGGGGGGGTTGTGCGGTTCAGCCAGCGCCCGGCAGGCCCCTCGCAGGTCGTCGCTGGAACGTCGATGCGGGCGTCCTCGGCCGACCCTCCGTGCCCGGTGGATACAACGGAGCGGCGCGCCCCGGCGGACGCCCGCCACCGAGGGACCTCGCCAAGATCGTGTGTGTGTGTGTGGTGTGGTGCGTGCCAATGCGGTGCAGTGCAGTGTTCTCGCGGTCCCCCTCTCTATCAGTGCGCCGGGCGCTGGCTGGCTCGCACAAGCCTCCCGCGTGGCTCGTTCCCTCGGCCGACCCGAGAGCGCCGCCTGGGGCCGGCACGCTGGCGCCGGGGCCGGTTCGAGCTGGCCTGCGTCTATTCCAAACCGAGCGTAGGGCCCGTCTTGGGCCGCCGGGTTGCGGGCTCGCTTCGGCGTTCGTGGACGCCCAAAAACGGGGTTCCGCCGCGTCGGCCGCCAAGCATTGGCGGGCGCCGCCCACGGGCGCTACAGGGCGCTTCCCGAGGGGCCCCCCGCGTCGACTGCCCGAAGACGCCAGAAGACTCCGGACTGCTGAGCCCGCTGGACTACCGGACGTGCTGGACAGGCCGCCCCGCAAGGTGAGAAGGCGGCGGCTCCCACGCGCTCTGTGCCACTTTCTCCCTCTCGGCAGGCGGATCCTGGTGGAACGAGCTGACAGTGATGTGTTCGCTGCTTCCACGGCGCTGGACAGAAGCCGCCGACGCGCAGCGATCCAAGTTTTGCTGCTGCCACGATCGAAGACCATCGAAGATCGAAGACCATCGGAGGCACCTCGAGACACGTCACTGGTTGCTAGGGAAAGGGGTGGGACGTCATAGACATTAAACACGTGTGTTGTGCAAGTGTGTGCTCATCGCTGGACTCCGGTCTCGAGCCTGTCACCAGGAAGAAGACCGCAAGAACCTTCGGACTTCAGCTACTGCTTGACCGAGGGCCGCAAGAACCTTCGAACTTCGGTCACTGCTTGAATGAGGGCCATCGCCTCGGCGACGCCCGTCGTTTCCTCTGGGCGCTGTCTTGCTGAGTGTGGCTGCACCCAGAGCGAGCCAATAAACCGCATCTTCCAAACAGAGTCGGGGTGCCCTCTTTGATGAGTGTCACCTGCCTGCAGCAAGCTGGAGAGCGAGCCAAATAAACTGCATGTTCTTCATCAAGTCGGCTCTGCCTTTTTACTTCTCCAGTCAAAACACGACGCGAAGTTGTGTGTCCCGACAGATGAGTTTACAGGAATATTTTAAGCACAAAAATGAACTGCACTGGCGGAAGGACATTCATTGTCCACCCGAATATAGCGCTAGCGGTCCAAGCCAGACTCCAGTTTCAGTACTATCCGTCATCTTGTTAGAATGGCGATTTGCTGAAATTTCTGTGGAAAAAAGGCGGCCGACAAAGTTAATAAATACAGGCCCCATTTTTCCCATTGAAATTTTCAAAATATCGTGACTCGATTGAGACAACTGTTCTGGAACTTTAACATCTGGTTTGGACCGGTAGCGCTACATTGGGGTGGAGAATGGGCATTCGACAATGCATACTTTGTTCTTGCAATGAAGAAAACGATTTTTTTTGTGTGTGTGTGTGTGTGTTGCTGTACATGTGCGAACGAGCGGTCGCCGGTTATTGCTGTTGCCAGAACTCAAAAAGGTAGGGCGAGAGAAAGGAAGGCTGGGGAGGAGGAAGCATGACGGAACACTGGAGGAGAGATGGGGAAACCTCTTTTTAGCGTTTCGTCTGCTTCCTCCTCCCCGGCCTTCCTTTCCCTCGCCCTACCTTCTTGAGTTGCAACGGACTATAGTGCATTTGAGAATGCTCAATTAAGGCCTCCTAAATGGTAATGGTTGATTGTTGCCAATACCGTGCCGAAGTGGAGTGAAAAGCGCCGATATGTTCGCACAAACAGTGTCGTGGAGTGTACTTTTTTGTCCGTCGTGATGGGCGTGCGTATTCTTCACATCGGACTGGCCGCGAAGTCGGGTGTGGCACATCTGGTCCCTGCGTCGTGCGAAATCAGCCGGGCAGAACGGGGAATGCATGCTGCATTTCTTTGGCAAAAAGGAATACACTTTTTTTTTTTTTTTTTAGACGACGCATAACATTAACATTTGCTAAAAATATTCAGAAAGGGTTAGTAATCGTTAAAATTCTTGAGGTGATCCAGGCAGGCCGGTTTGGATCAACTGTTTTAGAGTGGTTGAACGCCCGTTTTATCTTTTTCCGCTTCGGAAGACCGACTTTTTAACCGCTCGTTTCATTCGTAAGAAATTTGCGAGGAATATTTGTACGGGCGGGAGGATGCCACGCAGTTTTCACATTCATCCTTCGAAGAATTTCGTAAAAGTACATCTTAAAAACACTGCCCCCACTGAAAAAAGGCATCGCCGAGGAACAGTGGTGATACGTTTTGGAATAGCGTACGCAAAGAAATAGCGTCGTCATCACTGCGGCTAAAGATCGTTTCGGATCGGCGCATGGTGACGACTTAATTTCTTATTTTTTCACGTCCTCTATTCTAAAGCACGCTATTGGTCTTTATTATTATTTTTAGTGAAAGGCTACATTCTAAAAAAAGTCTGTGCGTCTACTTTCACGCACAACACTCGGAGAGCCAGTCGCCGCAACTTACGGAGGCAGTTCAGCCAATGACGATGCGGAAACATGTTTAGATCAAAAATGCAAGCGTGACGTTTTGCATTGCTTAATGTCGCAACTCAGACTGCGTTTTTTGGTCTAAACATATGTTTCCGCATCGTTATTCGCTGAGCTACCTCCGTAAGTTGCGGTGATTGGCTCTCCGAGTGTTGTGCGTGAAAGTAGACTTACATACATTTGTTTAGAGTGTAGGAGTGTTGGGAACGCGATAATCTAATTATCCGTGTTCCGCCACTGCTGGCTTTGCGCCTGCTTCACGAGTGGTAACTTTGGCGCGCCCCCGAGTTTCCCACGAGCTTCAAGTGGCTCTAGAAAGAGTTGATTCATGGTTTTTGATGACGTCTATTTTCACAAATTAAAAAGTTAATTAACACATTTGTATTAATTAGCCGACTTATCGCAAAGATTAGCCACCCATATAATGTCCCCCTGGCCGTGTAACTCACTCGCACAAACCGCATCAGTGTAGTTTTTATGGTTTTTTTTAAACAAATCTTTAAAGAATAAAAAAAAAAAAAAACACCCTATATATATTTTTTTAAATTTATTTTATTTACAAGATGCTGCAGGACTGTGATCCGGCCCAAGCAGAAGTAGATGCGGCTTTTTTCACGTGATACCCAGCATTTTACATCACAAGAAAAGGAGGGGTGATTAAAAACACATGAAACACGAATTACACTTCAAAAAGGTGTTCAATTCATCGTAGAACATTGTCCGAAGTAAAAAAAATATGGGGAGGCAAGGAGTTGAATCTGTTGTACACTTCTGGGGAAAAATAACATGTGTTTAGACCAAAAAACGCAGTCTGAGTTGTGACATTAAGCAATGCAAGCATGACGTTTTGCATTGCTTAATGTCACAACGCAGACTACGTTTTTTTGGTCTAAACATATGTTTCGGCATCGTCATTCGCTCAGCTGCCTCCGTAAGTTGCGCTGATTGGCTCTCCGAGTGTTGTGCGGGAAAGTAAACGCACGGGCTTTTTTTAGAGTGTAGAGGAATGATGTTGTTAGTTCTAATTAATTCCGTAGGAGAGTCATGCCGGCGATAATGATTATATATAAAACAAACTGCTAGTCTCTGGACCTGCTCAAGCCTGTTAATGTCTTTCTTCGTGAAAGGATCCCATACAGTGCAAAAATCAGCGCTTACACTCTAAAAAAAGCCCGTGAGTCTACTTTCCCGCACAGCACTCGTAGAGCCAATCACCGCAACTTACGGAGGCATCTCAGCCAATGACGATGCGCAAACATATGTTTAGACCAAAAAACGCAGTCTGAGTTGTGACATTAAGCAGTGCAAGCGTGACGTTTTGCATTGCTTAATGTCACAACTCAGACTGCGTCTTTTGGTCTAAACACATGTTTCCGCATCGTAATTGGCTGAGATGCCTCCGTAAGTTGCGGTGATTGGCTCTACGAGTGCTGTGCGGGAAAGTAGACGCACGGGTTTTTTTTAGAGGGTAAAGTCTGGGAGGTCTCAGGGGATCCGGGACCCCCCCTCCAATTTTGGCGGGGGGTCTGAGACCCCCCTTATACCTAAGGTCCCTTTGTCTTAGTCCCGTGCTTTGGGAACAGAGATGACAAGTCCTGGATAAATCGAAAGAATGCATAGCTGTAGAAATATGCTGTAGAAGTGTCGGTTTAATGTTACCCAAGGAACATATATAGAGCCCCCCCCTCCCCCCCCCCCTCCCCTCCTTTTTACGGGGGCCTCTCTACCTGTGCTCGAGCTAGGAGAGACCCCCCCCCCCCCCCACCTCAGACTGAAGAGAGACTTTAAGCTCTGGCATGCGTACTCCAACCGAGACCTTATTATAGGCCAGAAGTTTGACATGAGAGGGTACGTATTTAAGCTTGCGCCTCACTAGGCCTAATTTACGACGTGCAGGTGCACATATTTGTTGAATGTGTGAGGACCAATAGAGGTTGTTAGTAATCATAACGACAAGGGGCTTAAAACTGTCCGTTTGAGAAATGATTGTATTGCCAACATTATAATCAAACACATGGGGGCCCTTTTTGTTGGTGATACACATAAACACAGATTTGTCTTGATCAAGTTTCATTTCCCAGAGATCGCACAAGTTAGAAATTGCATTTAGATTCTCATTCTGCACAGCCTGGTCGCTAATAGAGTTAATCGCCTTGAACAATAAGCAGTCATCAACAAATGAACGAATACTCACACTCTCGTCGATGCGTGAGGTTAAATCATTATATAAAATGAGAAAAGTAGCGGACCAAGGACACTTCCTTGCGGGACACCAGAATTTGCAGAAAGGGGATCTGAATGATGACCGCCTACATCGCAAATTGTTTGCGCATTTCTTGATAAGAGGAAATTCATTTTACAACCGTACTGGGAAAGCCAATTTAGTTAAGTTTGAATAGGAGACCGGTATGGAGACCCTATCAAATGCTTTGCTCAAGTTGAGAAAGATTACGTCAATTTGGCCGAATTTATCGACTATTGAAGCGAAAGAATGAACAGTAGAAATAAGTTCTGTGGCAGTGGAAAGGCCTTTAGGGAAGCCACGCTGAAAAGGCGAGATTATGTCATACTTATCTAAGAATTCAGTCATGTAATTAACAACATTGCGGTATACCCGCACATGACGTACGTAAGTGACGGGGCCGCCAGTCATTTTAAGATTCGCTACCAGCTTCACCAGTTTGCAAAGAACAATTGCCCACAAGCCAAGTGGTTATTTTCTGCATCTGGACATGGAAAAATGCATGCGACAGATTTTGCGGACTCGTGAAGCACCAGGCCATGCTGAACAACCCGAGAGAACGTTAAATAAACGCAATTCAGACGGCCAGGACAATGGTGAGCGTTCTATCCGAGAAACTGAAAGGCGCCCATCTGGGGCCCTAAACTCGTCAAACACGAAGTTTGAGCCAAAAGTTTGCGGAGCGCGCCGATTGGACGTCGTCGAAAAAAGCGCCCAGTCATCGTCGTGATAGGCCAATCAGTGCGCTCCGTCAACTTCGGCCTCACCTTTGTGTTTGGCGAGTTTAGAGGTTCTGGTGTGTCTAAACGAAAATAAAGTTGTTCGGCATTGTCAAAAAAAAAAAAAAGAAAAAAAAAAGTGGCTGACGGTGCGTGCCTTTTATGGCATTCAGTGTTGGCACGCATGGCGGCTGTGCAAGTCATCGACAGAAGAGACCCGTGACATGTATGTAGCACGGACAGTTGGATCCAGTTAGAAGAAACTTTATTAAATGGGTACAGCGAGGAAAGCCTTAGCGTAAAGTGTTGAATTTGATTCTCCAAGGACTGCTCATTTTTAATGCAGGCACATCGTATTTATCAGTTTTCTTCGCGGGGCATTAAACCTACAGTTTTACTTGGTAATTGCTTATAATCTTTATCTGATCACCATATGAGAATCACGAAACTTTATCCACGCACAGGATAAAATATCATGGCTTGCCACGATCCATTCGTACACCGAGAGTATCAAAGCTAGGGATGCCGCGAACTTTTTCGATATCGA